TTCTTCCCCTACCCCTCCTCACCGCTTTCTAACTCTACTTTTGTCAAAACTCCACCCCCTTGGTCTGTCAGCAAGTATTTTAAAATCTTCATACACCCAACCCCGCACCCTCATCACCCTTGTTGGTTTACCGTTTTTGTTATATTATAATAACAAAAAGCACAATACCGTGACTAGAATAAACACAAATAACCCCTACAAAAGGACTTTGTAAATGGTCCAACTCGGACCGAAACGTCGTCGTAAGCTCGTGTCTCCTGTGTGTGGATTATTTGTGTATGATTATAAACCGTACCACGGGTGGGGTTAGAACCCGCGATCAGAGAGTCACAAAGCTCCAGACCGACCGTTAGCCAAGACCAGACAGACAACAGACAAGAGACAGAGAAGAGACAGACAACAAGACAGCAGAAGAAGAGAGCGAGACAGACAAGACAGACGAGACAACAGAGACAGACAGAGACAGAGACAGACAGACAGAGACAGAGACAGAGACAGAGACAGACAGACAGAGACAGAGAGAAGTTCAACAATTTATAAAAAGTAAAGGAAATGTAAGCATCATTAAAATTACATTTAAAGGAAATGGTGTTGAAGACAAGAGTAACGAGATAAAGACAAGAGTAATGAGATAAAGACAAGAGTAACGAGATAAAGACAAGAGTAACGAGATAAAGACAAGAGTAACGAGATAAAGACAAGAGTAACGAGATAAAGACAAGAGTAACGAGATAAAGACAAGAGTAATAATATTTGGCTACTAGTGAAGACATTGATGCTTATAAAACAATAGGTAATTATGAGGTGGGAATAAAAACAACCAGTAAATATATATATTACAAATAGAAAAAAAATACTGAGAGTTATTTAGATAACCTTTTGAAAAAAGCAAAAAAAAAAGTGCTAAAAAAAACGCGTGAAAAAATGTGAAATTCCAAGAAACTTTTGGGGAATTTTCCCCTTGTGAGTGATAAAAAACACGAAAGCGCTTTAAAATTTTACTCTTTTTTTTTACGTGGGGTTTTTTTGTATGAACCTGGTGGGTTTAGCTCTTGGGTTTTGATTTTAATATAAAGTGGTTAATTTTTTATATTTAAAGATCTCACTTGTTTTTCTGTGATTTATTGCCTTCTGATAAGTATATTTTTAAGGATCATCTGTGAGAGCAACCCGGAAAAAACAAGTCAGAAACTGATTTCCCCCACGCTGTCTTTGGAAGGTTTTGTTTTAGGGTTTTCCCTTTAGGAATGGACTTTTAATTCCCCTAATGTTTAAAATTTCCACTCCGGGGGGGGTTAGATTTCTTCCCCCAACAATTTTTAGCTTTAACCTTTTTGCCCCCGTCGCCTTTTTTGGTGTTTTTTTGCTCTCCGTAACACAAACAAGGAGACTTTTTAGCCCGGGTTCTTTGTCTGCAACCAATATGCGTTACTTTGTCTGCAACACGTTTTTGCTGTTACTTTGTTTCCCCAACACGTCATGCTGTTTCTTTTTTTCTTCAAAACGGGCTGTTTTTTACTTTGGGCTGCAACACGTCATGCTGTTTCTTTGTCGCAAAAACGTCCGCTGTTACTTTGTTGCAAAACGCATGCTGTTTCTTTTTCTGCAAAAACGTCATCTGTTTAAATTTGTCGCAACAAAATCCCTTTCTGTTTTCTTTGTCTGAAAACGTTTATGCTGGGTTTCTTTTTCCCGAACTCGTTTATGCTTTTACCCTTTTTCTAAAAACGTCCCCTGCTGAAAATTTGTCTGGGAACACGTCCCCTGCTTGTTAAATTTGTCTGCAACACGTCTGCTGCTACTTTTTCTGCAACAAGTTTATGCTGTTACTTTTTCTGAAAACGTCCCTGCTGTTAAATTTTTCGGGAACACGTCATTCTTTACTTTTCAAACCCAAATCATGGGGTTACTTTGCAACACGTATGCTTTTTACTTTGCAACACGTCATGCTGTTACTTTTCAAAAACTCAGCTGTTACTTTGCAACACGTCATGCCCGTTACTTTCAACCCCGTTTGGGTGTTAAATTTGCAACAAAGTTTATGCTGTTCTTTCCCAACCCCGTCATGGGTGTTTACTTTTTCAACACGTCAACTGTTCTTTGCAACACGTCATGCTGTTTCTTTGGGGAAACACGTTTAGGGGTTACTTTGCAACCGTATGCTGTTACTTTGCAAAAACGTCATTCGTTTCTTTGGGAACACGGGCTGCTGTTACTTTGCAACACGTTTGCCCGTTACTTTGCAAAACGTTTATGCTGTTACTTTGCAACACTTTATGCCCGTTTTCTTTGCAACACGTCTTCTGTTACTTTGCAACCACGTTTCAAGCCTTGGGGGACTTTGCAACACGTCATGCGTTACTTTGCAAAAACGTCCCTGCTGTTACTTTTTCAACACGTCATGCTTTTACTTTGCAACACCTCAGCTGTTAAATTTGCTAAAACTTTATGCTGTTACTTTGCAACACGTCGGGTGTTACTTTGCAACACGTCATTTTGGGTTTCCTTTTTTCAACACTTTATGCTGGTTTTTTGCAACAAAAGTCATGGTTACTTTGCAAAACGTCATGCCGTTAACCCCTTTTGGGAAACGTCATGCTGTTACTTTTTCAACCGTCATGCTGTTTTCTTTTTCAAAAACGTCATTTCGTTACTTTTCAAAACTCATGCTGGGTTTCTTTGCAACACTCTCCACACGCACAATTTTCCCCCAAAAAATATTTACATTTTTTTTTCCCAAAAAATATAATTTTTGTAAGATAGAAAATGGGAAAAAACTTACCCACTTTTGGGAGAGAAAGTGCACGTAAAATTAACCCCCTGTGAGGAGAAAAAGTGAAAAATACTTTCCCACTGTGAGGAGGATGTTCCCCAGTAACTTACCCCTGTGAGGAGAGATTGCACAGTAAACCTTAAAACCCAAATGTGGGGGGATAAAATGTGGGACAGTAAAAAATTAAACCCAAAGTGAGGAGATGTGCACAGTAACTTTCCCCCTGTGGGGGAAAAGGGTTGCACAGTAATTAAAACCCACGTTAAAGGGGAGATGGGCCAGTAAAATTTTCCCACCTTTTGAGGAGAGATTTTGCACAGAACTTACCCCACTGTGAGGAAGATGTGCACAGTAACTTACCCCCTGGAAGGAGAGAAATTTTCACATAAATTAACCCCCTGTGAGGAGAATGGGGCACAAATAACTTACCCACCTTTTGGAGGGGATTGTGCACAGTACTTTCCCACGGGGGGGGAGTTTTGCACGTAACTTACCCCCTGTAGGAAGATGTGACAGTAAAATTACCCCCTGTGAGGAGAGATGTGCACAGTCTTACCCAATGTGAGGAGAGATGTGCACAGTAACTTAACCCCACTGTGAGGGGGATTTTGCCCCGAAAATTACCCCCTGTGAGGGGGAGATGTTTACAGTAACCCTTTCCCACTGTGAGGGGGAGATTTTGCCCATTAACTACCCCTGTGAGGAGAGATTGCACAGTAACTTACCCACTGTGAGGAAGATGTGCACATAACTTACCCACTGTGGGGAGAGTGTGCACAGTAACTTACCCCCCGTGAGGAGAGATGTGCACAGTAAACTTACCCACTGTGAGGAGAGATGTGCCACAGTAACTTACCCACTGTGAGGAGAGATTGCACAGTAACTTCCCACCACTGTGAGGAGAGATGTGCACAGTAACTTACCCACTGTGAGGAGAGATGTGCACAGTAACTACCCACTGTGAGGAGAGATGTGCACAGAAAACTTACCCACTGTGAGGAGAGATGTGCACAGTAACTTCCCCCACGTGAGGAGAGATGTGCACAGTAACTTACCCACTGTGAGGAGAGATGTGCACAGTAACTTACCCACTGTGAGGAGAGATTGACACAGTAACTTCCCCACTGTGAGGAGAGATGTGCACAGTAACTTACCCCTGTGAGGAGGGGATGTGCACAGTAACTTACCCACTGTGAGGAGAGATGTGCACAGTAACTTACCCACTGTGAGGAGAGATGTGCACAGTAACTTACCCACTGTGAGGAGAGATGTGCACAGTAACTTCCCCCACTGTGAGGAGAGATGTGCACAGTAACTTACCCACTGTGAGGAGAGATGTGCACAGTAACTTACCCACTGTGAGGAGAGATGTGCACAGTAACTTACCCACTGTGAGGAGAGATGTGCACAGTAACTTACCCACTGTGAGGAGAGATGTGCACAGTAACTTACCCACTGTGAGGAGAGATGTGCACAGTAACTTACCCACTGTGAGGAGAGATGTGCACAGTAACTTACCACCACTGTGAGGAGAGATGTGCACAGTAACTTACCCACTGTGAGGAGAGATGTGCACAGTAACTTACCCACTGTGAGGAGAGATGTGCACAGAAGCAGCAGCATCAGTAGAGCGTTGACATGAACCTTCAGTGCCACCATCCTCACTGCTGTGGTGGACACTGCTGGTAGTTATTGCTGTGGTAGACACTGCTAGTGGTCACTGCTGTGGTAGACACTACTGGTGGTCACTGCTGTGATAGACACTACTGGTAGTCACTGCTGTGGTAGACACTACTGGTGGTCACTGCTGTGGTAGACACTACTGATAGTCACTGTTGTGGTAGACACTACTGATAGTCACTGTTGTGGTAGACACTGCTGGTGGTCACTGTTGTGGTAGACACTATTGGTGGTCACTGCTGTGGTAGACACTACTGGTGGTCACTGCTGTGGTAGACACTACTGATGGCCACTGTTGTGGTAGACACTGCTGGTGGTCACTCCTGTGGTAGAAATTGCTGGTGGTCACTGTTGCGGTAGACACTGCTGGTGGTCACTGTTGCGGTAGACACTGCTGGTGGTAAATGCTGTGGTAGACACTGCTGGTGGTCACTGCTGTGGTAGACACTGTTGGTTCTCACTGCTGTGGTAGACACTGCTGGTTCTCACTGCTGTGGTAGACACTGCTGGTTCTCACTGCTGTGGTAGACACTGTTGGTTCTCACTGCTGTGGTAGACACTGCTGGTTCTCACTGCTGTGGTAGACACTGCTGGTTCTCACTGCTGTGGTAGACACTGTTGGTTCTCACTGCTGTGGTAGACACTGCTGGTTCTCACTGCTGTGGTAGACACTGCTGGTTCTCACTGCTGTGGAAGTTACACATAGTGTAGTCAGTAATATGGAAGAGAAGATGGGATACAGAGGAAGACTGGTAGTCTGTATATATTCGGACTTACAGCTAAGGTCCTCTCCAGGAGAATACAGAGGAATGAGGAGCGTGATCAAGTATTTATATTGATCCTGAGAGCAGAGACGGACCTTCGTGGCTCTTCCAGGCGCTAGATAACATTTCCCAGTGGTGAATATTTTTGGGAACATGGCTTCTCATCGAAGCTGTGAAACTGAATACTTACCAAGGTGAGGGACTGACCACCTTAGACGTACTTCCTCAAGGTTGAGGGACTGACCACCTCATCTCTTTACTGTTTCTGATGTCTTCAGTAATTATGTCACCTGGCTTCCACCACACTACCTTTGATATCTTCAGGTTATTTTTAACATTCTTGTTATGTTAAAGCTGACCAGCAGTCAGTCTTAAATAGTAGTAGTAGTAGTAGTAGTAGCAATAATAATAATAATAATAATAATAATAATAATAATAATATTATTATTATTATTATTATTATTATTATTATTATTATTATTATTATTATTATAAAGTTTTATATGCAGAGTACTCAAAGACGAAATTGGAATAAATATTGAATAATGAGCCATGGGAGTATATATGTATATAATCATATAGGTGATGCACAATATACTAACTGTAGAAATTCGCTGCCGGAAACAGGAGTGAGAGGTATTCCTTGATGTTAAAGGTCAACTCTTAGTTATTTCCGGCCAATAACATCTTAGTCTGCGACCGATAACTGTAAATGTTATAGAGCAGTAGAGTGGGAGTTGAGTGTGTGTTGTATGCAACAATAACATAGTGGAGGTTGTGTGTGTTGCATGCAACAACATACAGTAACTTCAGGAGTGGTGTGGGGTTGATGCTGGTCCTCCTGGCTGGGCATATAATTAATATATATATATATATATGTGTGTGTGTGTGTGTGGTGTGTGTGTGTGTGTGTGTTTGTGTGCACTGACTCAATAATTAAATAATTAACTGGTTTTCACACTAGAGTGAGCGATTAGGAAGGAGGTCTTGAGGGAGTTTATTGTAGTATTTAATCATGCCCCAGGAAGGTACCCAGACACTCCACAAACACCCAGGCTATTGCTAAATGAACAGATGCAACGGATGTAAGAAAACTTGCTGGCACGTCTCACCCTACCCGAGATTCAATCCCGTTACCAATCACTTGTGAGCCGAGTGCGCTGACCACTGAGCTACAAGTTACAAATTAAAGTTCAAAGATTTACAGCCTACTAGTCCCAGTGTGAAAGTTGTGCACCTTGAAGCGACACAAGCAACTGGTCCCGACAACCGTAGACAAGCTTAGCACTAGTGAGACTTAATGTGACTGCAATATACAAAATACTAAATGAAGGAAATCAAGTATATGACGACAAATTTAAAATGAGATAATCGGAAACAAGGAAACATAGATGGAAATTAAAAATGTATACGAGTCACAGTGATGGTGAGATTACTGCTCCCTGTAACAGGGTGATGCAAAAGTGTTATAAACGCTGTATTTAACTCTATTATATTGTCTTAATTCATCTCTCTTCTCTCTCTCTCTCTCTCTCTCTCTCTCTCTCTCTCTCTCTCTCTCTCTCTCTCTCTCTCTCTCTCTCCTCTTCTTCTCTCTCTCTCTCTCTCTCTCTCTCCTCTCTCTCTCTCTCTCTCTCTCTCTCCTCTCTCTCTCTCTCTCTCCCCTTGTTTATATATTTTGTTGCTGCTCTCTGGAATGGTGGAGATATCTTCATAAACATTAAATTTTTTTCTGTGTATTTTATGGGATATCCTGAGGGATGGTAATTCCCAAGCTTGTCACTGCAGCTCTGCTGGAAGACAATCTTTGACACCGTCCTAGCTGAGGAACTTTTAATGCAGTGGTTCCCAAACTTTTTCAGCTTGTTACCCAATTTAACATGCCACATAAAGCATGTTACCCCTTTCACAAAATGTTGTTATTATTGATATATATGGCTAAACGTGAACGTATACAGCCTCGCATACTCTGCTAATCCTAGCAAAACCATTGAAAACGTAAGAACCACACATACATTATATATAAAATTAAATAGCTACAAATTCACAGTAACAGTGGGTAAATACTAACTATATACTGCACAGGGCAGTACACATACATACCAGCTTATGTCTACCTCGGCTGATGCTCACAGATAAACTGACAGTGTGAAATAGAGGCAGCCTCAGGAAGTGAGTGACGCGTACTGGACAGGTCGATCTGGGCTACTGAGTGACTTTTGTCCTGAAGCATACTTGTCAAAATACTTTTGGGTTTCCACACACTTAGCTATATATTTCTTCTTTTCGAATACTGTATATTAGTTTTTGATGTTTATTGTTATTTGGTTTAACTTTATTACTTACTTATAATAGGTTTACTTTACAACTTTATATACTAAGACAAAGTTAACAATAATCCTCATACCGGGTACCGCATTGTTTTCTTGATTTTCAGAATTCATAACTTTTTTTCTGTCACCCCTCCATTACCCCCCAAAAATGGTTAAATTACCCCAGGGGGTAATTTACCCCCAGTTTGGGAACCACTGTTTTAATGGAATACTTGACGATATTCTTATCACCACACTGAAGTCTCCCAGCTCAGACTGACACGCTTCCACACTATGTATGTGACCCAACCTACGTTTGATTACACAGTGAGTGAACACAGTGGGTGAACACAGTGGGTGAACACACAATGGGTGAACACACAGTGGGTGAACACACAATGGGTGAACACACAGTGGGTGAACACACAGTGGGTGAACACACAGTGGGTGAACACACAGTGGGTGAACACACAATCACACCAGTAGCAAAACTTGGTCGTAAGTTGAAACCAACATGTTTGTAATTACAGTTTGGAACCTCATCTACGCACAAACTTTGTAAACAAAAAATACACATAGAAAGACAGAAGTTGCGTACATGAAACATTTAAGCGTGCGTACAGGGAATATTTACATGTGCGTATAGGAACTAGTAGTGTATGCGTATATGAAGCTTAACGTGGGCGTTCTGGGAAAACTATCAATTATACGTACAGGAAAGACGTATGTGTGTGTGTGTGTGTGTGTGTGTGTCTGTCATGTTCATGGAATGTAGCCAGAACGTACCAGGTTGTGTGTGTATGTGGCTGTAGGAGTCGAGTCATAGCTCCTGGCCCCGCCTCCTAGCTAGTCGCTACTAGATGTGTGTGGGGGAGGAGGGCTTCTAGGAAATACAGTGACCTACTTGGGTCAATAATGATAGCGACCATACCTTCAAAACTTTTCCTGATTTGACTATACGTCTCGCCAAGCCTGAGAATCGAACTATGCTAACCTTGGTTGTGAACCGAGCGATCTACCACTGAGCCGAAGATAGACGGAATTTGTCGTTGGGGAGTAAGATTTTTCTGACAAGATCAAGGTAGTCTCCCCCCCCCCCCTCGCTGGGATGACCTGCCATCACACACAAACATATTATGCCCTTTTATTTAGCGGCTTTTCATCCACCGAGGGGCGAAATGTCCCATCTACATCATCTGCTACAATATCCTACCATCTAATACTATCTTTCACCATCTGCTACTATCTACTATCATCTACTACCATCTGTTACTATCTGCTACCATTTCTTATATCTGCTACTATCTACTACCGTCTGCTACTATCTACTACCATCTGTTACTATCTGCTACCATTTCTTATATCTGCTACTATCTACTACCGTCTGCTACTATCTACTACCATCTGTTACTATCTACTACTATCTACTAGTGGAAGGAGTACCTCTGTAATAATATTATAATCTGTCACTGGAACATTCAAAGAACCTTCAAACCATTCTTCAAGGTCGTTAAGTTTATCGTGGTAAACACGGAGTCTAGTGCTGAGCCTGGAGTGCTGAGCCTGGAGTGCTGAGCCTGGAGTGCTGAGCCTGGAATGCTGAGCCTGGAGTGCTGAGCCTGGAGTGCTGAGCCAGGAGTGCTGAGCCAGGAATGCTGAGCCTGGAGTGCTGAGCCTGGAGTGCTGAGCCTGGAGTGCTGAGCCAGGAGTGCTGAGCCTGGAGTGCTGAGGCTGGAGTGTTGAGTCTGGAGTGCTGAGCCTGGAGTGCTGAGCCAGGAGTGCTGAGCCTGGAGTGCTGAGCCTGGAGTGCTGACCAACTTCAAGAAGGAAAGAAAACCTCCACAGGGTTCAAGCCCCGATCATTGTTCAAAAATTTTCCTCATTCTTTCTCAGGGACGCGCTAAGACTGTCCCCTGGACACGTCCTGCTCAGGGACGCGCTAAGACTGTCCCCTGGACACGTCCTGCTCAGGGAAGCGCTAAGACTGTCCCCTGGACACGTCCTGCTCAGGGAAGCGCTAAGACTGTCCCCTGGACACGTCCTGCTCAGGGAAGCGCTAAGACTGTCCCCTGGACACGTCCTGCTCAGGGAAGCGCTAAGACTGTCCCCTGGACACGTCCTGCTCAGGGAAGCGCTAAGACTGTCCCCTGGACACGTCCTGCTCAGGGACGCGCTAAGACTGTCCCCTGGACACGTCCTGCTCTCCCTGGGAAGCTTACACTCATTATACGCTTACCTATTTTGCCTGATAGCTTTTAAAGAACCCTCCGTACCCCTCGTGTGGGCGATAGTCACCCCATACCCATCCTGTAGTCAGTAGTCACCCTATATCCACCCTACGAGCGGCAGTCACCTCACACCCATCTTATGAGGAATAGTCCAAGGATTACAAAGGCACATAATGAGTCCGAAGGCTGGGTCCCACCACTTGTATTTGCTAAGCAAGTTACTCTTCTCACGAACTGTTTACACATTCATGAATACAGTCACAAAAATATTAGTGTAGTTATATATGAGATAGCCAAAATGGCCAACTTTTAACAAGATGTGTTGAATTTACGCTCCTGCCTACTTTCTGTACTAGACTGAAGAAGCCTACTGTGTAGGCGAAACGTTTCGGAATAATGATGCCTAACTGTTGCCTAAGATCTTACTTACCATGAAAACATCTTCACTACCAGCTGCACCAGTGAACAATCCAGCACACAGCGTTCAAGAAGGTGATAAAATTTGATCGCCATCTGTGCCTAAGTTAAGCTCGTCATTATAGCATCCATTCGTCTACGTGTATGGCAGAATTACGGAGGTAAAGTAAAGTAATGACAAAGAAACACACTGCAAGACAACTACTTATTGGGATAACGTACACGTCTGTGTAGAACTATCACATCAACACACACACACAGACACGCTGTCCTAATAAAAACTTGCTCTGGATACTACTTGTAACCAAGGCTAAGCATGGTTCTCAAAGCCAGATATCTACACTTGGAGTACGCTAAGTGAGCAAGACAGCCAGAATGACGCATTTCTGCTACTTCTAAGCTCACAGTTCCACCGACTTTCCAGAAACAAACACTTGTAGCACTAAGTTCAGCAAATTTGTCTCCTGTGAAAACATTAAATAACCTTCAGTGCTGTAGGATAACTAGCACTTGTGAACAGTTTCTTTCTCTACTCTCTTACCTCACTAACCTTACTAAAGGCAATCTGCAGAGCGCACACACACGACCACTCCTGACCACGCTTTCCGCCTCTCTCACACAACCTCTATAAATACTTCCCTTACCCTCCCTCCCTCCCTCACAACACTCTCTCTCTCTCTCTCTCTCTCTCTCTCTCTCTCTCTCTCTCTCTCTCTCTCTCTCTCTCTCTCTCTCTGTCTGTCTTTCTCTGTGTCTCTGTCTCTGTCTCTGTGTCTGTCTCTGTCTCTGTCTGTCTGTAACTGTCTGTCTGTCTCTGTCTGTCTGTCTGTCTCTGTCTGTCTCTGTCTGTCTGTCTCTGTCTGTCTCTGTCTGTCTGTCTCTCTGTCTCTGTCTCTCTCTCTCTGTCTCTCTGTTTCTCTCTGTCTCTCTGTCTCTGTGTCTCTGTCTGTGTCTCTGTCTGTCTGTGTCTGTCTGTCTCTGTCTGTCTCTGTCTGTCTCTCTGTCTCTCTCTGTCTCTCTGTCTCTGTCTCTCTGTCTGTGTCTCTGTCTGTGTCTGTCTGTCTCTGTCTGTCTCTGTCTGTCTGTCTGTCTGTCTATCCTCTCTCTCTCTCTCTCTCTCTCTCTCTCTCTCTCTCTCTCTCTCTCTCTCTCTCTCTCTCTCTCTCTCTCTCTCTCTCTCTCGTCTCTCTGTCTGTGTCTCTGTCTGTGTCTGTCTCTGTCTGTCTCTCTGTCTCTGTCTGTCTCTCTCTCTCTCTGTCTCTCTCTCTCTCTCTCTCTCTCTCTCTCTCTCTCTCTCTCTCTCTCTGATTTTTTTACTTTTTTTTACGCAGGGTTTGACAAGGTTAGGTTAAGGCTCCCCAGCTTTATTGACAAGTTAAGGACTCTCTCTCTCTCTCTCTCTTTCTCTTTCTTTTATACTTTAAAATTAGTTGTATATGGATCTATATGAGCAGTGGTAACTGCTGTGGTAGTGGTAGCACTGTGACTTCTGACTGTCCCAACTACTGGACCACTATGACAAGGTCCTGGATGCTCTAGAAGACAGACAAAACGCAGATGTAGTATACACAGACTTTTAAAAAGCTTTTGACAAGTGTGACCATGGTGTAATAGCGAACAAAACGCGTGATAAAGGAATAACAGGAAAAGTGGTAGATGGATATTTAATTTCTTAACAAATAGAACACAAAGAGTAGTAGTAAACAGAGTAAATCTGAGGCAGCTACCGTGAAAAGCTCTGTTCCACAAGGCGCAGTACTCGCTCCCATCCTGTTCTTCATCCTCATATCTGACATAGATAAGGATGTAAGCCACAGCACCGTGTCTTCCTTTGCAGATGACACCCGAATTTGCATGAGTGTCCCATTGAAGACACAGGTGTTATTGGACCCGAAATTTATTTCTGAGTAAGGTGAGTCAAATAGGCAAGTTTCCTTACACCATCCGCTGCCCTGTTTACCTGGTAGAAAATAGGTAACTAGGAGCTAGTCAGTCGTCGTGGCTCGCATCCTGGGCAAGAGGACCACAAGACTCCTAACGAAAATAAGGCCCACTGATTGGCTTTCTTGGGTTATCCTGGGTTATGAACCCTCTTCGATTATTAACCATTGCTGGGTTAATTAATCCGAAGAAAACCTTTTACTGATTTAACCCAAGAAACCTAATTAAAAAAATCCCTATCTGAAAAAAACCCAGGGTGAATCATGTAATAATATCTGGTAGAGGCTTGTCCAAAACTGGCCACTTAGACGTATAGAGACAATACACAAAACTTATGTATGTCAAAGAATCTTATTAGTCAAAATAAAATTCCAGAAAAAATTTGGAGTGAATTTCCTGAATTTACGTCTACCATGTAAATCAATAATACAAAAAATTCTTTATGATAGACTTTTCTTAACGTTCTTGTGTCTGTTGTGGCTACATGACGAATTAGTCTCTTCGACTGTAAGACTCCGGTTAACTCAATGTCCTTATTATGGGACCGGGTATAACAGCCAGGTATACGAGGCTGGGTATGAGCCATTTATATGAGTTTGGGTACGAGCCAGGTTTATGAGGCTGGGTACGAGCCAGGTATATGAGTTTGAGTATGAGCCAGGTTTATGGGATTGAGTATGAGAGCCAGGTGCATGAGACGGGGTATGAAAGCCAGATATACGAGGCTGGGTACGAGCCAGGTATATGAGGCCGGGTATAAGAGCCAGGTATAGGAGACCAGGTATACGAGGCCGGGTATAAGAGCCAGGTATAGGAGACCAGGTATACGAGGCCGGGTATTAGAGCCAGGTATAGGAGACCAGGCATACGAGGCCGGGTATAAGAGCCAGGTATAGGAGACCAGGCATACGAGGCCGGGTATAAGAGCCAGGTATAGGAGACCAGGTATACGAGGCCGGGTATAAAAGGCAGCAGGGACAAGGTGGTATTGGTCAAGGAGATGCAAGGCAGGAAGGAGGTGAGGGATTACTGCTACCACGCATGGGAAACCCATGGCTTCCTCGCAGCTTCACTAACGCACTTTTTTGTAAAAACTTCCGAAATTCACGTGTCTTTTCGTGTTTATTGTTTTTTTTAAGCGGTCGTTCTTCGTCACAAGAAAGATTTAGTTTTCACTTAAACTCCGAGAATCTTTATCGGACCGTATCGATGTATCGGAGCTTATATGTAATTTGATATGTTAGTTCTTTACAGCAGTGTTCATACTGGTCACAGGATATAGTTTAGTATGAGCCTTTAGGTTAAATAGAGAGGTTGCATAAGGGGTATGAAAGCAATTCGAGCAGTAGATGAAGGTAATAGAAGGCGGGTTAGTACTTGGAGACCAGATATGGCCGGAATGAAAGAGGTTAGAACCATTACATTTGAGAGTATGGAACAGCATATCGAGCTTGTTAGATGCATATATGAAAGAAACACCAGTATACAGACAGGTGGAGACCAGTATAACGTGCCGGTTAAAAGATCTGTGTACAAGTGATGGTCAAGAAATGAAACAAATGAATTACTGCGTTACCACTGCATGCTGTCGAAAGCCGCACTGGCTGCATCGTTCAGGTAGCTCTAAGGCTACTTTTGACAAAAGGGAGGTTGAAAGTTGCAGCAGGGCAGTTTGGAGGTATGTTGATTGAAGGGAATGGTTGGACAGGCTCTGTTGCAGGAAGGGGAATAGTAATTTAGGTTTATTAGAGTGAGATGTGATTGAAGGGCATTGATGTATGTAATGTTGAGGGAAGAGCGTTTGGGCTAGCATGAAGTGTAGCATTGAACTGCGAGATTGAAAACAGAATCGATGTTTGGAGCATAATGTTGTCAAAAAATTAGGAATATGTTGAGTACGTAATAGGTTGCATTGAAGAAGTTTGATAATGTTTGCAGGACATGAGGCTGAGGTAATGTTGCATTGAAGGGAAGGTTGGAGGTAATGTTGAATGGAAAGGGAGGTCTGGAGGTATATGGCAGGAAGGGGAGGTTGGAGGTAATGTATGCAGGAAGGGGAGGTTGGAGGTAATGTATGCAGGGAAGGGACAGTAAGGATTAAGTCATGAAGGAGCCGAGGTAATGTTGCAGGGAAAGGGAGAGGTTGGAGTTAATGATTGCATATGAAAGGGATGGTTGACGTGCTAATGTTGCGGGAAGGGGAGGTGGAGGTAATGTTGCATTGAAGGGGAGGTTGGAGGTAATGTTGCATTGAAGGGGAGGTTGGAGGTAATGTTGCAGGGAAGGGTGAGGTATGGAGGTAATGTTGCATTGAAGGGGAGGTTGGAGGTAATGTTGCAGGGAAGGGGAGGTTGGAGGTAATGTTGCAGGGAAGGGGAGGTTGGAGGTAATGTTGCATTGAAGGGAAGGTTGGAGGTAATGTTGCAGGGAAGGGGAGGTTGGAGGTAATGTTGCAGGGAAGGGGAGGTTGGAGGTAATGTTGCAGGGAAGGGGACGGGGGGAATTGGAGGTAATGTTGCAGGAAGGGGAGGTTGGAGGTAATGTTGCATTGAAGGGGAGGTTGGAGGTAATGTTGCAGGGAAGGGAGGTTGGAGGTAATGTTGCAGGAAGGGGAGGTTGGAGGTAATGTTGCATGGAAGGGAAGGTTGGAGGTAATGTTGCAGGGAAGGGGAGGTTGGAGGTAATGTTGCATGGAAGGGAAGGTTGGAGGTAATGTTGCAGGGAAGGGGAGGTTGGAGGTAATGTTTGCAGGAAGGGGAGGTTGGAGGTAATGTTGCATGAAGGGAGGTTGGAGGTAATGTTGCATTGAAGGAAGGTTGGGGTAATGTTGCAGGGAAGGGGAGGTTGGAGGTAATGTTGCAGGGAAGGGGAGGTTGGAGGTAATGTTGCAGGGAAGGGGAGGTTGGAGGTAATGTTGCATTGAAGGGAAGGTTGGAGGTAATGTTGCATGAAGGGGAGGTTGGAGGTAATGTTGCATTGAAGGGAGAGGTTGGAAGGTAATGTTGCATTGAAGGGGAGTTGGAGGTAATGTTGCATTGAAGGGAGGTTGGAGGTAATGTTGCATTGAAGGGAGGTTGGAGGTAATATTGCATTGAAGGGGAGGTTGGAGGTAATATTGCATTGAAGGGAAGGTTGGAGGTAATGTTGCATTGAAGGGGAGGTTGGAGGTAATGTTGCAGGGAAGGGGAGGTTGGACGTAATGGGGACTCTATGTTTGAGGTAAATGTGTGGTGTGAATGTTAGGAAGAGAATAAGGTGTGGAGAAGCTAGAAGATAGTGTAGTCGCTTCAGAAGAACAATTTAAGAAATAGAAGATGGTTTGTTGAGATGGTGTGATCATGTAGAAGGCTGGATCAAGATCAGATGACCAAGAAGGTGTATACATCATGAGGGATGAGGGGGGGGGGTCGTAGAAGTGTTAAAGGAAGTTCCAGGAAAGACCGGAAAGATTTCCTGAAGGTTTCAAGAATTACTGTTGGAGCGTGACGAAAGTAGGAATTAAGTGAAACCAATTTGCCGGACATGAGTTCCGTAGATGGAAGCGCTGAGGGCTGCACTCTTCTACGTTTCCACAAAAATAACTCTGCAAATTCGCGTCAGTGAAATTTTGATACCAAAGACACTCATCTTATTAGGTGCATGAAACTGGTCATGAACCAGCAAAATACT